TGAATGCCAGGCAGTTTACGTCATCTCATCTTGTTGATACACCACTGATACGCGAACACACGGTCACACGGTCACGTCGGCGATAATCGCAGTCGTCTCTTCACAACACACAACACTACCATCTTGCTGCTATGTTGCTGACGCGCAGAAATACAGAACCACGTTGACTGCCGGTTGGCACTCGGCATCGGAAAACAGAACCGAACTCAGCACAGAAGGCACCCAGGCAAGCGGCAGCAAAACCTGTCTGTCTTGGACGCAGATTCCGCGATTTTCATAACGTTGTCAACGTGGGCACATCCACTGTGGGCTCATCGTTCATCGTGGTCCGCATGGTGGTGCGTGGGTTCTACATTGCGGAGATGGCTATCTTTGCCTGCAGTGTACGTAGCGCTGCTGGCACTGCTCCGGAACTTCGCTGTTTCTAACGGTTTCGTTTGCTCGTTTGATAAAATTAGTGGTAAAAACGTCAATGCAACGAAAATGTTCTGCACGTTCGGACTGGGAGACGGAATTACAGGCGGCCTTCGCTGCCGCTCTAGATCATTCAACTCAACAACGTTTATTAAACAACGTGCGCGACCTGCTCGAAGCACGATTTCAAAAGAAGATGAGTCGGGATTACGGAAACTTTCTTCCGTCTGCCTGGAGAAGGAGAGAAACGCCTATTTCCTCCCTTTTTCTGGTGTCCGTTTGGGGGCGCGTCAGTAGAAGGGAGGAAATACCTTTTTCCTCCATTTTTTCTTAGATTGTATGCCAGCTCAGCACGCACAACGCTCGGGTTTCAGCAGGCAAGCATTGAACTCAAAATGGTTTGCCTCCGATATTTGTTCACGACGTTTCGAACCTGCAGCGATATATGTTGGCCTGAGCGAGCTTCAAGAGACTTGAACTTCTTCGGGGAAGCGATAAAAAGACTGAGGTGCTGATGAATGTTAATAAACCCACAATGTCTGACTTATGCGGTGGCGTATAGGTTGCGTTCAGAGTGACCTGGGCAGCACGCTTATACTATAGTAACACCAGGGTCACCGGAACAATTGTTCCGTTGCGCCAACCGGCGACATCATGTAATTCCAGAAGCCACAAGAGACGAGCAGAAATTGTGAAAGGTTTTGTTTTGTTTAGTTCAGTGTTTCTCCAGTAGATGCCGCCCGTAATGTTGGAGTCGAGAATACGGTATGTTTTCCAGCCTCCGTCAATTTCGTCTTATGCTCGAGTTCCGCGAGAGAAACAAACAGAAAGAACCGACAGCGACAAACCTCAAACCAGATTGTTTCTTGGTTCGACAGGCTTTGTAGAATAAAGGAGGCTATGATCAAACACGAGCATCATGCACGCAAGGGTATCTTTGGCATGCTTGCAATCACTCGTGCTTACTTCACGACCGCCAAACGACTAAGCGCCAACCAAAGGTACCATCGCGAACCTGCTGCATGTATTGGAGGCTTTTCCGTGTGCGTTGCTTTGCAGCGGAGCTCTTAAGGGCTAGTTTCCCCAGTTTCGTGGCCGGTACCAAATAAATGTCGACACAAAACTGCACAAAACTTTGAACAGCTACCGCAATCTATGAGCGAAAGTGGCAATCAGACAACCAATCTGGTGGCCGCCTTCACTCATAGATGGCGGCAATCTTTCCAGCTTTTCTGTCAAGGTACGAAATGGTCCGGTGGTCGCCGTCGTGTACGTCCCCCTCCCTACGCGACGCCCAAGAGAGACATTGAAGCATTCATGATGGACGTCTTCGGCTGGGTCATGCTCGGCGACGACACGTCTGCCGTAGTGACGGGTGCCTGTAAAGTTGACAATGCGCGCCAGAAGAAAAAGTGGTTCACTTCGTTTATGCTCGAGCGCTTCGGGCTTGCGTGTGTGAACGAACCACGACCAGGCATCAGAACTGTATATATATATATATAGACCTCGTCTTTACGAAGAACATGCCTGCCGTCAGCGTACACCCTATGGCAGCAATCAAAAGGCCATTGTCAGTGTGGTTACAAAATAAATAACCCCTGATCGTTATATATATATATATATGTCTCATATTTTAATTTTTCAAATAACCAATTACCCAATCACTCCTTAATCCTTACATATATAAATACTTCATTCCCAACATAGTACAACTTTCGCTGGTCTTCCTTCTTCACCAGAGTAGAAAGGCTGACAATTTGTTTGCTTGCCGCTCTAGTGGGACTCGGGCATTAGGACAACCTATTTTGATGATATCAATTTCGAGTGCCCATCAATGCTGTAGATCACCGCTGCTCTGTGAGCTCTATAATCAAAGCATGTTTTATGAAAGTTTACGGTGGAAGCAGACAATAACTAATCAGAAAATACTTCTTTTTGTATGTGCAGGGTCAGGTGAAAGAAAGTTTTGTGGAGTTTTGAGAGCTACCTCAACCCTGCGCAATGAGAAGGGGTTTATTTCCTTGGAATACATGGTATCGCTTCCAAAATACTGCAGTTGTGACATCAGCGAGGGTAAGTTAAGCAACTTTATCAAGCCTGTCACGTCTCTGTCCTCACAGCCTTTTACCGAGTATGAATTTCGAACTGCAATTCCTCTCGACGGAAAAGTGACATTGTTTAGAAGCGTTGTCCCAAAAAGGGACAGACTGCCTAGTTCAGACAGAGTCATTTCGTTTCATTACTTTTTTAATGCGAAAGCATTAACTGTTCCATAGGATGCACCGGCGTTTTCAGGTTTTGAAGCCGCGCCAAACGGCACATAAATTCCCCTGTTCCTAGAAACAAAGGCTGCAAAAAAAAAAAAAAAAAGAAAGCGAGCTTTTTTTTTTTTTTAATCTCACTTTTGCAATACTTAACGATGTGGGTCCGAGGTGACAGTCTTCGCATATATTCCTCCGAGTGATGATATTTGAATGCGACTGATACTCTGGTCCTGAGCATGGCTAGAGCACTCGAGTCGGACTCGTGATAGTCGGTGGCTCGACAAGCATTCTGGTAGTGCCTCGTGTCCAATGGCTGCAATGACCGACAATAGCTGAACCATAACAATATCTGGAACCCGGCACGCGTCATGTGCTTTGCCAAGCACAGCGCGCGGCTATGATAAACATCGGCTGCCTATAATCGGCTCAGAGCACGTGGACGCTTGTTCTGGCTGCGAGCTAAAAAGCTTAGCGCTAATATTGTTTTGTTTTTCATCGTCTATTATTGCGTAGGGAGAAAAACTAACGCGTGTTTCACAGGTTATAAACGTCAGGGTCCAATTGCGAGCGGTATTTTAGGAAAGTTTCCAAAAACCGTCGCAATGCCCTTTTAAGCCGTATAGCCTAACTTATCGCACATCATACAAAAAAAAAAAACAAAAAAAAAAACACGCGAGTTTCTCTGCATACATGATGAAGGAAATATCTGCAGATACGCGTCAAGCATGTTGGAATTAAGCATGTTCGAGTTAAGCGGGTCTGCTTTATACATATATTTGCCTCGAACATGTCTGCACGCAGCTTTGGTATGACGTATGTTAAAAAAACCGTCATGCATGAAAAAAAAAAGTTTTAGACAATGTCCAAAGGTTGTCTTTTGTACGATGTATTAGCAGTGTGGCCACATTGCTTAGGTTTTTCATGCTTTCATGCGAGTCTTTTTCAACATTTCTATTACCGGATTTCCGAGCAACGAAAACTTCGTTGCGCGAGACGAGCAACAACCCACGGTACCACAACAGCGAAGTCATCTACGCTTCGGAGTAACGTCACTTCGGCTATCGTGCCTGGAGCGCGTCTCCGACCGGTTGTGTTTAGCGTCCTATGCCGCCCGTACATCGAAAGGTGCCCCGAAGTGCTAACAAATGACGTCACAGAAGCCGATAGTGTGATGCTGTCGGAGGTCGCGGTCCTCGCAGGTTAGCCATAGAAGTGCTACGGCGAAAACCACGAGCGAACGCGTGCGTCGCTGTCGTCGCGGCGTCCCACTTCTGGCTGCTGACGCTTCCGCGGACTGCCACACAGGAGACCGACACACAGCAGAACAGGCGTCTGCCACTACGCTACAGCTGTTGGGACGCCTCCAGTGTCGCGACTTGCGACAGCATGACACGACGTCATCGGGCGAAAATCGAGGAACCACTTTTTTTGCACGTGGTTAACTCTTCAGTTGGAGACGCGTTCCAGGCACAAACTTCAGCCAGCTTGGTGTTGAAAATCATAGTTGCCAGTTATGTAAACGGAGATGAACAGGTTGCAAAAATAGACAAGGACGAAGGGAAGATGCGTACAACACAAGCGCTGGACTCACAGCTAAACAGTTATTGAAATAACACCAAGGATGTAAACAGCACTATCGCTTCAGCACGTGTCAAGATAGGCAATTTCTTTTTTTTTTTTTCTGAAGAAAACCCGATGTCTGACTGAGGGATACATCTTGCCCCTCTTTTGTTACTGCATACACGTGCTCTTGAGACGCGTATGCGCTCTTGACAAGTACTGTAGCGATAGTGCGGTTTACATCGTTGGTCTTTTTTTCAATAAATGTATTTGTTGTGAGTCCAACGCTTGCGTTGTACGCATCTTCCCTTCGTCCTTGTCTAATTGTGCGCGCTGTTTATTTCCGTTTACCATGAAGCAACTCTCCCACATGACGATACTAATCCAGTTATGTAAAGCTTTTGTTTGAAATTGCAAAAATAAACGACGTCTTTCCGGCCTCCGGGAATGTTAAAACAGCTCAGGAAAGAGCAAAACAATATCCCATGAGCTTCCCACCACCGTGTCTAAAGCTGAGGGAGTCGCTTTTTTGTTTTAATGGTGGAAAAAATCGACAGTTGCGCCTTCTCTGCACTTAGCACCAGAATGGCGGCGCCCACTTGCAGACCAGAGAACCATGTGCCGCCCTAGGCGCAGCTCCTTTAGTGGCTACCACCTGTCATCTTCCCGAGCAAGTTGTACATCCATGGTGCCCCTCGCGCAGAAACAACCGCACTCGTCGTCCTGTGGAAGCACGACCGCGAGATCCGTCAGACCAACGGGATGACCCAACTGATCCTCGACCGGGACGTGAAGCTGTACAAGTTCAACTCTACCATGATGGTCGAGCTCATTGAGTTGTCTCTGGATTGCGAAACAAATCGCGAGCTGGTGCGACTGAAGGGAAGCGGCGGTTACGGCCAGGCCTATGGAGGAGGTAATGCCTACATTTCGCAGAACTGGCTGGAACCTTTATGTCCAAGGCCATATAATCCGTGGAATGCAGTTTTCAACGAAACATTGTTTAATTGTGGTTAGAAGGTATTATAACAGTGTTTAGGGGAGGGACCCATATCGTTATGAATTCACCCGCAACATCTTAAGGGGAAACTGAATTTGTCTTTAGGTCGTGTGACGTCACTGACTTGGCGCGTAGTACACGTTGCGTCTATTTACTCTGGAAACTAACTTGGCGCATAACCACGTGACATCAATTTCCCGCTAAATATAGCGGCGAACTGACTTGGTGCACACCTAGAGTGACGTCAATATCCACTGTAAATTTACTGGTAAAACTGAACTAACTGAACTGATGTACAAGTGACGCGACGTCCACTATACTTCGCCTCTAAATTTAGCAGCGACAATGAATTGGTAGGTAGGTTACGTGATGTCATTTCCCCGCAAGACGGACAGATTTGGGTGTTTGGGGGTGGGGCTCTGTTAAAAAAGATTAAAAGTCCCTAATGTCTCTCGGTTCGCTTTACTGCAGAACACGAAGGCAGCCATTGACGGCGATCCATAGAAGGATCTTAGCATTGACGTAGCTCAAAATACAATTACGTAAACAAACAAAGTAAATGCACTGAGCGCACTGAACATAGTAACTTAGTGAACGTTTCCTTTTCTCGACATTCGCTTTATTTTAAAAGTTATATAAAAAAATTAAAATTACAGAAACAAGCAAAAAATAACCTCCTTCATGACGTCCTTGGTCCCCTGTCCCGCCTTTTCCCGCGCCCGAGGACCGCGGTGACTGAGGAATGTGGGGGGGAAGAAGAAGACTAGGAGGGAGGTGGGGCCGAGGAGAGAGAGCTGCCCGGAAACGGGGCAGCTCTCTCTCCTCGGCTGATGTCAGGACCAACAACGTCACGATTTCGTCACATGCTGCGCGCGTTCGACACCACGGGGCGCCTCCGCAGAAGGAGGTTTCCGCGTCGTCCGGTTAAAATATGACGCACTGATATTTAGTGACTCTCTCCGTGCCCGCTGGCTTGCCCGAGCCCCACGAGACGTGGAAACCGCAAAAAGGTTGACGCTTAAAAATGATTGCAAGGCCCCTTTAAGCTAAAACGAGCTATAGAAACTCCGCTGTCGGCACGCGAAAACGGACTTTTTTAATGGGAGACTGATAGGGTATTTATGCTCGCCACAGGTTTTATTTGTAAATGACATATCCCAACTAGCCGGAACACAGTTTGCGGCTCGAAATTTGTTTTATTTCCTCCAGAAAACCACCGATGGAGAGCAAGCCGGTATGAGACGCGCTCACCCCTTTACCGTGGTCACGTGCTGTTCTTTGTGGCTGAGACACACCCGCGAAATATCACGAACCTTGTGGGTCATCGAAGGCACACACTCAATATTAAAGATAGAAAAAAAAAATTTCTTGTGGCTTCTAAAAAACTGGAAATACCTTGAAAAAAAACAAAACAAAAAAAAACGTGCACAGAGAAGTGGAAGCACTCTATGTATTCTCTGTGTAAGTGTCAACACGGCGTCGTATCGCGGAAGTCGTGGGTTGGACGGCTGAACGAAGCGGACTAAAATATGGCGGCGGGCGACGGCTGCTGTTCGCGGTACCGGCGAATATGTTTAGCTTCGAAAGAGAAACGACAAATGGAATTTATTCTGTACGACACGCCAGACCAGCAACAGCTGATTCGCACCAAGACGTCGCCGAACCGTCGCCCCTTCTTCTGGCTGACGACAATATGCTGGTCTTACGAACACGAATAGGTAAAAGCTTTAGAAACGCGCAAACGTGAAGCACGAAGTGCTTGACTTTTGCGTTTTTCGCATGACGTGAGCGTTTTTCGTCTGCTTAAACGGGCAAAAAAAAAAACAAAAAAAAAAACGAAGGTAAAAAAAAAAAAAAATAAGGAAACACGGTCGGCTGTATCCACGTGACTCCCGGCCCCCAACTCGCTCCTCCACTACATTTCTTCCTCCTCCCCAGTTCAATTTCGGTTTCAAGCAGTTTCGTTTTTTGACTTTATTAAAAATATATGTAGCGCTGTACCGAAATTTGATTGCGTAGCGGGGGGGGGGGGGGGGGGGGGGGGGGGTTGACACCATATTAAATCGTCTAACAAAAATAATAAAAAACGTTTTATGGTGTTTGTCAGTGTTTTTTGAAGGGCTAATTCCTTAAGGCAACCGCCTCCTCACTCTAAGATGCCCATGCGTACAATCGGTATTGTGCTTCAGCGGGGGTTGAAAGGGGTGTGCATCGTTCGGCCACTGAGAATACATTCCTACTGGGGTGCGATACCGCTCAGCCCTTAGCACTTGTTAAAAGGTAGCCCCTGTAAAATGTCGAACCAGAGTACATGACCGCTCGCGATTTATAAATAATAAATACGAGCACTGCCAACATACTACACTAATCGGGAATAGCGATCTACACCAAGACCGATATTAAAAATTCTGCCACCAGCTTCAATCGGTATTGTGCTTCAGCGGGGGTTGGTTGCTTGTCAAGCGAATTTGTGTCCCGATGTTAGGTTTCTACTCAAGGGGGTTTCTCGTTCGTACTGCCACATCTTTCGCGATGTTTTTCTGCTGCGTTTTCAGCCGTTCTAACCGACGATTAGTGCTTGATTTGTTATGCTTTAGCGGCCGTAGTTTGTAAGTCCTTCACAGCGATTAGCGACTCCCTGCTTGCTCAAGCCTAAACTTACTGAACAAGTTCAGCAGTGAACGGGTGCATTCGATTCAACCGGAAGCTTCACGGTCGCTGCACTGGCGGGTTCGATTCCTCTCAGTTCTGAACGAGTTCAGATTCAGATATTTAAAACCTCCCATGGGACCAAAGTCAGTTCAGCGTTTGTGCACAAGCACACAATGAGAGCAGACGACACTCTTCGTCTGTCTCTGCTCGCAGTGCCCCTTCCGGGAGCTCTTCTTTAAACTTTTCCGATGTTTAGCATACACAATAGAGTTAAGACGAAAGTTACATTTTCCCTCTCTAGCTGCCCTAGGTTTTGTTGTGTACTTACTTAGTGCGCTTGTCATAAGAAAACAAAAAAACGAAATGTACAGGGTGTCTTTAGCGAACCTTCCGCTGTAAAACGAACCAATAAATTCGGCGGCTGTACATACAAAAGCTCAAACTTTCACGGAATATGAACTAAGTAGGTCAGTTTTACCGTGTGTAATCTCAATACGTAGATCTCCTTGTGCAAAAAATCAGAGCAAAAACACTTCGCGTTAGACCCCTTCGCAGACGCCGAGTTACCGACGCTAATAACGGCTGGCAACTTATCGAATGTCGTACAGATTAATCGATTAATAATTTAATCACGATTAATATTTGTAACCGTCTAATCGTTAACGTTTTGACGAACCACAAGAAAGTAAAAATTAATGCGCTTTCAACAAGCAGACGTGGGCGAGTACCCCTGTATGAAGAGCAAACTTTAGGTGAAATTTAAGCCTAAAGTAAATTGTAGGGGCGATATTTATAACTCAAGATAACTTCAGAAGTTTGAACGTGTTCCAGCCACATCGACGCCGTTCGAGTGTCTGTTTAGCGCAGCAGACTATTGTGAACAATCAAGGGACGATGCTCTTGCCGTAGAGATAAAACTAACATATTTGCCTCATGCAGCTAAGTAATGATTTGCGAGTGTGGGTGTCTTTGAATCATTGTCAACTACACATCAGCAAAGATTAATATATATATTTTTTATCCTTCTTTGAATTTTAGGCATGAAAATAAACAAGACCGAGTGACCAACTAGTTAATCAATTAAAGCGTGATGATGAATCGGGTTAAAAGTTTTAATCGATGCTCAACCCTACTATTAACTTGTGGTGCCATCTTCCGATAGGCTCAGCGAGCAGCCAACAGAGTTAGTCCTCTGCTCGCAGCATCTATCGGGAGATGGCGCCACAAGGTAATAGCGTCGATAACTCTTATCGTCTGCGAAGGGTCCTAACGTGATCTTCGGCAAATTGTGGGACGCGCTCATTTGATCGAATGACGTTTTAGCGAACGCCCACGTTTCACGTGAATGACAATTTAGCGAGTAGTCCGCCGCTGCGAAGCGGCGTCTACGGGTGGCCCAAGTGGGTCCACATATTTGTAATGAGCCGCCGCAGACTGTCGCCGCGAAGACTGTGTTTGTGTGTGTGTGTGTGGGGGAGGGGGGGGGGGAGGTTAAACATGCGTTGCCGTTATTCGCTAAAACGTCGATTTGTTCAAATATCGCGGTTCGTTAAAACGTCATTCGCTCGTGTGATTGAACCCGGCGAATTGTTTGCTCACATTTTTTTTTACAGAAAAGAAACTACGCCTTGAGATTGCGCGCGGTAAGACTAACAACCTGTTCAGCGTATATACGGAGAAATTTTGAGCTTCCTATGCGCAGACGGTGATTCTTTCGGCTCGTTTTACAACCGAAGGCCCGCTTGAGACACACTTTAAATAATGCATAAATTACGGGATCATTTCTATCTTGACACAATTGCAGTTAACAGACATTTTAGGTAGGGTGAACTTTTAGAACTATCAAGCTGCCATCAAGTTGTGATAAGAATAAATTCAATTAGTATTATGGATTTACTCCAGTGGGTGCCACCAGTGCCTGGGTTGGTGTCAATACAAAGAGCGCGTGTTCTGCTGCAGTCAGTTTGGAGTCCGGCGAGTTTCGGTGCACAAATAATCCACGAACGTAAAACCGAATATTGGAACTCAGGTTAATTGTTAACAAGAACAAATCAACAGGCGACACAGTTATTCTGCTCTGTCAGTGAGCCGCATTTGACTGTGTAGCTCCCGAAGCTCTTTGTTCTTGGGCGGGTCTCGATAAGGTAAAAATGTTTTCCTAAAAACAAATATAATATTTCGCATTTATTCCTAAAAATCATAAATAATTTATATGTTTCTGGCGTCTTATACCCCACGTGGTGTTCCGCATTCGTCCTACTATG